ATATGATTATAATTCAAGTGATCGCCAATAATAGTTTATTTGTGCATTATATTCAACCAACATAGATAAACAGATTTAGGGTTAATCCTATTGATTGCATGTTAATCAGAAAGCGCAAATGAATACGATCAGAAGAAAGTAGAGGCCTATTATTAGGGCAGGTTCATTCTCTTTTAGGTTGGATTTGTACCTTCATCCCCGAACCCTTATTTGGTTCTAGACCTTATGGAGTTGACGATCTCTTGGATCGTTAAGGGGTGTAATCTTCACCCTGTGAACGGTTTACAAGTTCCTTAAAAACTTGTTGGCGACTCTTTTGCTCTATCTTCTTCCCTTTTGGACGCCACCGTACTTTAGTGTATGATCACAGTGGGGTTCAAGCTAGTGGGATTAAAGCTTGAAATTATTCCCTACAGGTGGCGTCCAAAGGGAAAGAAGATAGAGCAAAAGAGTCGCTAACAAGTTTTAGGAACTTGTAAACCGTTCACGAGGTGAAGGTTACACCCCTTAACGATCCAGGAGATCGTCAACTCTAATAGGTTTGGAACCATGACTGGTAGTTCGGGGATGAAGGTACAAATCCAACCTAAAAGAGATTGAACTTGCCCTAATAATAGGCCTCTACTTTATTCTGATCGTATTCATGTGCGTTTTCTGACTAACATGCAATCAATAAGATTAACCTTAATCTTGTTTATCTATGTTGGTTGAATATTAATGCAAAAATAAAACTATTATTGGCGATCATTTGAATTATAATCATATTAACCCTAAACAAGATTATTAATTATCTTATTAAGCGTGATTACAAGTACCAATTCCCTTTAAACATGCATAAAAGGTGTGATCAAGCAATAACAATAAAAATCAGGCAACATAATAAAATAATCATCATAATAATTATAACAATTATAAAAATAATCATAATAATGTTTAAAATCAATAATCATATTAAAGCATAACAGCAAGATCCTAGGCATGATACTAACAAGATTAATAACAAACCCTAGCATGTCACTAAACAATAAAGATCAAATATATAGCCCTAACATGACACTCACATGAAAATTAGGAAAGAATATAAAAGGCGTCATACTTTTAATTATACTTGATATTAGCATTTTTTAGTTGTTACCCTAAACATGATACTAGGAAGATCAAAACACCCTAACATGACGCTAGGAATCATTATAACAACCTAAGCATGATTTCTATATCATAATATCAATAAATCAATTAAATCACTTACTTGGATGCCTCGTATCTATTTCTAATAACAAAATACACACGTCAGTAACTTCAAGCAAAATAATAAACAACAATTAAATTAAATAATTGAAAGAGAGATTTGGGACCAAACCCTCAAAAATATCAAACCTTTCACGTCTAGGGCAAAGGCAATTTCGAACTTGGCTAGGTGTGTCTAAGTCTTGTGAATGCGGAATTTTGTATGCAAAAGGGTTGGTTTAGAAAAAGAGAAAAAGAAAGTTTTAGCTTAGAGAGAGAAGAGAATTAGAGAATTCTTGAGAATTGATGATAATTGATGATTGTAGATTATTGTAGATGAATGAAAACGGAGTTTTCAGGAGGCTATTTATAGAGAAAATCAGCCAAAAAGATAGAAAAACAAATCAGAGTTTCAACGTGAAAAAACGAAGTTAACGCCACACGCTGACATTAGCGTCAGACGCCAGGCTTAGTGCAGGCGCTAATCAAAATTTTTACGCGTTTTCTAAATTCAGATAAAATTTGACCGTACAGGAGGATAAAATCGTATTTTCCTCAAAAACACTCTTTAATTCTAATAATATTCCAAAAAGCCAACAAAAGTCAATTTATCAATGCTAATTGAATTAGGAATGAAAAGAACCTTCTAAAATAATATAGGAGACTAAAACCATTCCTAATTGTATTAGGAATGATAAATCCATACCAGGCCCTCCTCTAGATCATTGAGCCGCATATAAGGCTTAAACCAGGCCCAATTTAGTAATTTGGCCATAACTTCCTCATTATTCATTGGAATTGAGCTTATAATATATCGTTGGAAAGCTCTTTTCAAACCCCATCCAACTACACTATTATTGGAACCTTCCTATGAAACAACAAAACTAGATTGGCTTCTTTCTTAAAATAGGTTTTCAAAAACAGAGAGAAAAGAGAAGAAATTAAAATTATCTGCAACACTAGACTTTCCACACTTTCACTTCGTTCGATTATGATTCGACGTGAAAGGTACTCATCACCGGGTTTGATTTTGGGGAGACACAAATGGGTGTCTACAAGTTATATACTCACTGCTTACGTATGCAATAATTTATGCTTAAATAAAAAGAATTTACATAGTAACAATTAACTATCAATATGTATAATGTCAAGTTTTTAATATACAAATTGAATTAGTAATAAAGTATTTCTAACAAATCTAACAAATATCTTTAAAAAATTGAATTAGTAATAAACTAAACTAATAGTACAGAACTCACAGCCTCATATGATTGTACAATTGATGAAGAGTTGTAAACTTGTAATAACCTAAAAAAAATGACATACTTTTTTGTATATATCACCATATGTAACTATTATTCGTCAATATATCACTAGCTCGGTCTCACTTCTCGCTTATATAGGTATGATAAGTCATCGATAATTATTCAATCTCAATTTTCCTCAAAGATGAAAATTACACATAACTTGATCAAATGAGAAAACTAAAACTCAAGTGCTTTGTAATTAATAATCATATTGACCCAATAATAAGGTAAAAACTAAATAATATCTCTAGTTTAAAAATAACCTTATTTGGATATGAATTTGGTAAACTCGACCAAAATCCAGCCAAACACAAAAAGTAATTGAACCGAAATTGACCGAACCGAACTTGACCGAACCGAAATCATCCGAATCGAAATCAACCCGACCAAAATTCATCCGACCTGAAGTTACCCGGCTAAACCCGTTTTAAACCCAATCCAAATATATCCGAACCGAAAGTGAATCGATCTGAAGTTGACCTGACCCGTATCCGACCCGGACTTGATAGACCATGACCCAAATTTGACCCAATCCGAGTTAAAAGGATAATTTTGATCCGAACATATCCGACCCGAACAGACCCGACCCGAATAGACTTGACCCAAACCCCATCCGGTTATCCAAATTGACACCTCTAAGTGAGAGTCTAAGAGTTCTTTGTGGGCAATAGAATTAAGAATGGGTTATTCTAGTTTGGCTTTTTGGTCAACAAAAAAAGTTGATATTTGATAAAAAAAAAAAACATCAAATAAATTACGAGAGTTGGCTAGTAAGCAATTTAATGTCGCTTAAGGGAGGTTTCAAGTTCGAGTCTCACCAGATGTAGAAAATTTTTGTTAGGAGAATCATTCATCATAAGCCAAGGTGTGCAACCAAATTGGATCCGCATGTAGTCGGAGTCAAGCAAGCTCTGGTGAACCGGGTGGGGCAAACTCAAAATAATATTCCGTGGCAAAAGTGACCCGGATTAATTTACCTTTCTTGGGCCAGCCCAAATGAAGTTAGAAGTTCCCAACAGATACACTCCTTGTAATCTCCTTCTCGACCTGCTGCTGATCATCTCCTTGAAGTTGTTGGTGGTTGGTAATAATTTGTTACGCAGTGCACCATCATCTAGACGATAACTTCCTGGCCAATAATTGTATTCATAACTCACAGGATGACTATTAGAAAAGATATTACCGGGAATTACAGGAGTTACAAAACCATGGGGCTGAACAAAGGTAAACCATGGCATCAACGGCGGCATTGCAAAACCCTCCATCATCTTCGTCTTTTGTTTCTGATGCTTAGCTTCTTGTCTCTCCTTCTTATGAGCGGTTTGATGGCCGCCTAAGGCTTCTAAGTTCATAAATCTTCGACCACAATATTTGCAAAAAATATCTTGTGTATGGGGGATATATAAAACGGGCCGATATCTCAGAAAATGCGGATATGGACCCTGTATGATTATCAAATGGGCTGATATGTTTCATAAAGCAGACATATCGGCTTGTTGGAACTCGGCACGTGGCAGCAACGTCTTGACACTTGTCGAGAAAAGTCTTGCATGCCACCAAGCCACCTGTCATAAGGAACTATTATAAATAGTAGCTTAAGCCTCATTAATAAGGTAGCATTTATTACTCTCTCTCTCTCTTAATCTTTTTCTCTCTCTAATTTCTCTTTCTTAAACACTTTCTGACTTTGTCATCGGAGTGGTTATCCCCGGATCACCCCGGGGTTAGCTAATCCTTTCTCTTTGTGTAGGTTCTCTTCTGGCCGATAGGAGATTAACAGGTTGCATACTCGGGCTTTGGACTTTTGAACCGGGTTGTCGGATCCTTGCAGGAACATCTTGAATTTATATTTATGAGATTTTGGCCTAGGAGAGTTATTTAAGCTACAATATTATATATATATATATAGGGGAAGGCTCTCGTGAGTATTTTTCTTATATGAGAATTTTTTGTGTGTGAGAACACTCTTTATGTTCTAAATTTTTACTCGTATGTTCTAAATTTTAAATCTAATGTTCTAAATTTTTCCTTATGTGTTCTAAATTAAATCAAATGTTCTAATTTAGTACTCACATGTTCTAAACCATAAATTAATTAAGTTTGAAGTCATAAATTTTAAATAATTTGTTCAAAAATTTTAAATTATATGTTCTAAATTTTAAAGCATGTGTTCTAAGATTTTTAATTATATGTTCCAGATTTTGAAGCGTATGTTCTGTTTTTTTACTCGTATGTTCTAAATTTTTTACTCACACTTTCTATATTTTATATCAGTTTGTTCTAAATTTTTATTCACATGTTCATAATTTTAAATCAAATTTTCTAATTTTACTCATATGTTTAAAATTTCATAAATCCAGGCCCGTTTCTGAGACTTTGATGGCCTAGGTGCGGATAAAAAAAATGGGGCCCTTGGTACCAAAAAAAATTTATTTTGGGTATGCACAAAAAAAATTTACAAAAGACTTTATTTAATGCTAAGAAATTTTATTATTACAATAACGCTTAAACAAAACACTTTCTTCTAGCATTTCTAGATGCAAAGTCATTAATGATAGTTTCTACATCAATATGCTCTAACATTGTTCTCTCAATACATAAAGTAGCTAAACCATTCAACCTTTCTTGAGACATTGATGATCTCAAGTAGGTTTTCAATAACTTCAACTTTGAAAAACTTCTTTCAGCAGATGCAACCGTTACCAACATAGTCAATAGTATTCGATAAGCAATTGATGCATTTGGAAAGCAATCGGCAGCTTTGACAAACTCTAGAATCTCATGTGCCAACATCAACACATTTGATAAAGTCATTTGCAATAATTTTAATTCTGAAAAAATATCATATGCATCAACATCGGACAAATTATTATTAGAAAAAGTAGTCTTAAAATTGATGCAAGAAATTCTTAATTCATCATTGTCTAATAATGACTTTAATTTGTTTGAATCAAACAAAAAACCAAATATATTGTCAAAAACTTCTAATTGATCAAATCTATTTTTCAAAGAGTTTATTGCCATATCAACAACTACCAAAAAATAATTAACTCTAAAAGATTCCTTGGGTGATTGTATTTCTTCATCATTATCATTGTTCTCATCAAATTGTCTTTTCCTAAAAATTTGACGCTTTGTCGGAAGTGTAGGCTTTATACCCATATCTAATGAAAGGCTTTTAGCAATATTTATACTAGATTCAAAGCCATTATTTCTATACTCCTCAAAATACGAAATAATACCTTTCACTTCCTTCATTGCAACTCCAATACACATAGACTTAGATTGCAATTTCTTACTCACAATGTTAATTGAAAATAAGATGTCATGCCAAAACAATGCCAAGTAAAAATTCATAACTTGCAACACAATTAGCCAAACTTTCACATTCACTCTTTGTCTTAGCATCAATACCACTAGAGTCATACAATTTTTGCAAAACTACCTTTATTTGAGGCCCTTGAAATCTAATAGCTTTGACACTTTTAATTCGACTCTCCCATCGAGTATTACACAAAGATTTAACAGTTAGCCCCGGAACATTATCAACTAAAACTTTCCATTTTTTAGTAGAACTTGCAAATAATGTGTATATGCGTTGCACAATTCCAAAAAAAGAAATAGCTTTAACACAAGAATGTGTCATATCCAAAAGAGTTAGATTAAGACTATGACAAGAACATGACATATATAAAGCCCTTGGATTTACTCCAAGTAGTCTCGTTTGAACCCCTTGATGCATGTTTTCCTTTCATATTAAAACCATTGTCATAACCTTGACGTCTAACATTATCAATATCTAAATCAAGAGACTTGCACACATTTAACAATTCATTAAAAAGTCCTAATCCAGATGTATCATCTACTATTAAGAATTCTAAAAAAAATTCTTCTACTTTTATCTTATCACAAGACACATTAACACATCATATCGTACAATCAAAGTCATTTGCTCTTGATGGCTCACATCCGGGGTTCAATCAAGTATCACAGAAAAATATTTAGCCTCTTTAATGATCTTTATCATAGAAGTTCTAACACTATGGGCTAAAAGAGAAATCAACTCATTTTGAATTTGAGGACCGAGGTAGTGATAGTGAATTTCATGACTCTTTATACGTTGAACATGATCTTGCATTATCAAATCAAATTCAGCTATCATTTCAATCAAGCCCAAAAAATTACCATTACTATCCTCATACAATTTTCCATTAGATCCACGAAAAGCTAAATTATGTTTAGCAAGACATTTAACAACTGATACTATTCTTATCAAAATTAGTCTCCAACGTTCCTTTTCTTTTAGAATTCCTTCTTGCAACTCTTTATCAATGCCTTTGTTCTTATTCAATCTCAACCTTGTTTCATTCCAAGTACTCATATTAGTCAAATGTTCAACACTATTCTCATGTAGTTTGAGTTTCTCACTCAAATGTTTCCAATCATTCACTCCATCATTTGCTAAAAGAGTTTTGTTATTTTGAGAAGTAAACAACTTACAACAAAAACAATATACTTTACCAACATTTTTAGAATAAACCAACCATTTTCTATTCGAAATCTCTCCATTACTCAACTTTCTAGTAAAATAAGTATATGAAAAATGCCTAGAAAATCTATCGATAGGAAATGTGAGATTTAAATCTCTTATGGGTCCTTTTTCAATCAAAATATCTCTAGATTTTGCATCAAGTGAACCCCAGTTTCTAGGATCATACATATCAAAAAGAGGGATAAAGTGTTCATTAACACTCACATCAACATTATCGACATTAGGAACATCAACATTATCATGATCATCATTAGGAACATCAATATTCGGAACATCATTAGGAACATCAACATTTGGAACATCATTAGGAACATCAACATTTGGCACATCATTAGAAACATCATCATTAGGCACATCATTAATATTATCATCATTATTCAAATTATTCGAAGACTCTTCAACTCGACTACTACAAAAAACATTTATCTAATGTTCCTCTTTGAGATTCAATTAAATCTTGTGTTCGTTTTCTTTAACCCTTTTATCATGACCAGATGCATGTTTTCTCAGAAACATTATTAAAACAAATTATACAACAAAAAAGTTACAGAATGATATCACCGAATCTCGCAAGATGCTAGAAGTAAAGATGAGAAGTCCAAAAGTCGTCGGATATGGTAGAATGAGCGACACCCCGACACCTACAATATAATATTGATAGAACAAATTAAAAATTCAGTACAATTGAATAAATTATTAAAAGTTTATCATTTGACATAATGACATACTGATAATTTTTAACTAAAAATTAATCAATTATCATTCTACATTTCTACATTCAACATACAAATAAATTTGATAATTTATAATTACAAAATCAATCAATTTATCAATTCGACATACGGAACAAATGTGACAATTTGATAATTCATAATCAATTAATTATTAATCAGTAATCAAATATGAAATATCATAATTCAAACAAAATTAGAAATTAGAATGAATTGGGAAAAATATAAATTTGACATACTATCTACTCATAATTCATAAATCAGAAATTAAAATTCGTATGATATAAAATTAATATGAGTATTTCAGATTTTCTCTTGTAAAATCGAATAATCTATACATTAAAATAAATTAATCAATTGTAATTTCTGGGGAAAAAAATTTAAGTATAGAACTTACCAATGACTTAATAGTAGGCCCGTACCGATTCTGAGTTCATCTTTGAACATCGAAGCCAAAATCCATAATAATGGTGAAAAATTAATAGAAACAAATAGAAAAAATTGATTAAGTAGATTGATATGTGAAGAACAACTGAAAGAGTATAATTTATAGGAAAATTCATAGATAAATCCCATTGAAAATTGATTGCAAAGAAGAACGTTTATAGGGGAAATCATCATTTTAGCATTAATTTGGGAAGGAAGATGAAAAATCAGAAAAATATAGGTAAAGATACAAATAATTGATTTCATGGATGAGAATAGAGGATTATATGGATGAATTGTTAGATTATGGGGTTAATTTGTCAAATTAACTTCCCAAAATAAAGGATTTAATTTCAAGGAGGAATTTTAAGGATTTACTGTGAGGAGTTATTAAGGGAATGATTGACTAATTACCAAGAAATGTCGCTTACTTCGTCATTTGTAATATTATAATTTTAATTTTTTTTTTAATAACTAATTTGATTTTCAGATTTTGGGGCCCTGGGCGGGTGCCCCGGTTGCCCCGGCCCAGATACGGCCCTGCATAAATAAAATTTTATAATGGACTTTTTGTGAAAAATTACCTCATATACATAATTTTTTGTGAAAAACTACCTTGTAAAAAAATTATTGTAAGAAACTACCTTATAAAAGCTAAATGTTGTAAGTTGATATCATGTGCTTAATTTAACAATGAAAGAGAAGGGGAATTAGGGGTTATAAGGAGGCTATGGAGAAATTGGGTGGAAAAAGGAGAAAAATGATTGAAAATGAGTCATTAAACGTCTCTTATTCAATGCGATAATTCGACAAAAAGGTAGCTTTTTACAATATTAATTACTTTATAAGATAGTTTCTTACAGCATCTATTGTTTAAAAGGTAGTTTCTTACAACATTTTTTTAATAAGGTAGTTTTTCACAAAAAAAACAACTTGTATAAGGTAGTTCTTCACAAAAAGTCCAATTTTTTAATCACTTGTTCTAATTCTTAAATCAAATGTTCTAACATATTACTCACACAAATGTTCTAAATTATTACTCATATGTTCAAAATTTTTATTTGAGTCACATGCATGTTCTAAATTTTAAATCAATTCTCATATAAGTATGAATTCTCACATATGAACCTATTCTCACCGGATCCCTCCTCTCTCTCTCTCTCTCTCTCTCTCTCTCTCTCTCTCTCTCTCTCTCTCTCTCTCTCTCTCTCTCTCTCTCTCTCTCTCTCTCTCTCTCTCTCTCTCTCTCTCTCTCTCTCTCTCTCTCTCTCTATATATATATATATATATATATATATATATATATATATATATATATATATATATATATATATATATATATATATATATATATATATATATATATATATATATATATATATTATTAATTGCTAAAACAGAAAATTGCTGACATCATCCTCTTTTCAAATTGTGTACGTGTCGCTTACTCATAAAAAAATTTCCCGCCTAATGCACTTATGATGTCATAAACATTTTTGGTTTATTTTAGAAATTGGTTTATTTTTATTTTTTTTATTTTAATCTTTGACTGTGTCAATAAATAAATAAATATTTTTTATTTGTTTGGAATAAATAAAATTGATGTTGAGCTAAAACATTTTAAATAACTACGATATTTTTTATTTTATTTTTTAGGAGGCGTTTGGTTCGCGGATTATAGGTATTAGGTATGGGTTTAGAATGACCAAAACCCATACCATATGTTTGATTGTCAAAAATATGATTTTTAAACCTATACCTCAAACCCATGAGGTATGGGGTTTAGAAACCTTTGGGGGGAAGGTGGGTTTGGCTCATTTCATTCCCTTAGGTATCAAATATATGAAATTAAGGAGATGATATTTCATTCCAGAATTGAACCAAACACATGGTATTAAGTATCAAGTTCTAACCCGATAGCACCTTAACCCTATCCCTAATTCCAAACCTATACCACTCGGCGAACCAAATGTCCCCTTAAGGTTTTACTATTATTTGTGTGTGTAGACTAAGGATTGTGCAAATAACCTAGCTATAAAGTCATGTATTGTAATAATATTATGTATGTTGTTATACAAAAATGAACTAATGTTGTCGTTAAATGTTACCATTGTTTCGCAGTACTTCCAATTAAGGTGCTTAATTTTTTATTACATCGCTCCAATTTATTTAAGTTAGTATTTCGAACTCTTAGATATATAGATTTGTATGTACATGGTTTGATTAGATCAAAACATCTTTCAAATTTTATATTTTGTTACTTAGTAATATATGATGTGTTTTTTATGATCTAATTTATAAACATGTATGGGTGAATAATAAATAGAAAAAATTTATTTCATTCTAATAATTTTTTCAATCCGTGCATCGCTCACGGGTCGTCTAATCTAGTATGTATATATAACTGTAGCTTGTTAACCACTCCGTTTATATATGTCATGGAACTCAACCAATCATGTACTTTTGTTTTGTGATATAACCGATAAACCGACAGAATAATAGAGTATATACATGCCTCATATGAATGAAATAATAAAGGAAAAATTGTAATTATTAATCCCAACTTTGAGCCATTTACTTTTATTAATCCCAACTATCGATTATTCCTGAATAATCCCAACTTTAAGGGGTGTTTTTTTTTTATTAGGTCCAAATTACCGGTGACCTGAAGAAAAGGTAAACTCTTTTTTTGTTTTTTCATATTGCCACATGTCAGCTTTTAAATGGTCAAAATAATAAAAAAATCTTTTAACAAAAAAAATCTGAAAACTCCTCCCTCCCTCCCAACCCGCAAACACCGCCACTGGCACCACCTCTCTTAGCCGGCGACCTACCTCCTCATCCCGATGAACCACCCAACCCAAACCCTTGCCCAAGAACCTGAAACCCCTCCCAACCCACAACCACCAAGTTAACCCCTCCCAACCACCAACCCGCATAATTTCGCAACCGCCATTGTTGAACCTTCTTCTTCTTCTTCAGCTTAATTTTTCAGTAGTTCTGAATTTCTAGGGTTAGAAATGATTGAATTGAAATGGGGTTGAAATGAATTGAATTGAGTTGGTTTAATTTGGGGGAGAATTGAAATGGGGTTGAACTAGTGGTTGGTGGTTGGTGCAGGTTGGTGGTGATTGGAGGTGAAATGCGGTAACAGGGGAATTAATTGGTGGGCTGCAGTTTGTTGTGGATTGGAGCTGGTTGGTTTGAGGTGTTGGAAGCAGTGCTGCAGATGGTGTTATTAGTGGTGATGGATGCGGGTTTTTGTGGGGTGAAGATATGCGTGTGAGGTGGAGTGGTGGCAGGGAGTAGGGGAGTTGCTGTTTTGGTGTGGGCTGCTTTGGGTGAGTTGGTGGTGGGAAATCAGTGAACGGGGGGGGGGGGGGAGAGGCAGCCTTCCGGCGTCAAAGCTTGGGTGGCATTGTGGCAGTCTGGCAGATCGGTGGTTGGGGGGTGTTTGGCTGGGTTTGTTTAGATTTTTTTTTCTTAATTTTTTTAACCTATAGAATGTTGACACGTGGAAAATGACTTGCTATTACAGGTTTGGTAACCTGTAAGGCCCGATAAAAGTCAATATCCCCTAAAGTTGGGATTATTCAGGAATAATCGATAGTTGGGATTAATTAAAGTAAATGGCGTAAAGTTGGGATTAATAATTACAATTTTTCCAATAATAAATTATTGAATATAAAACATATTATTGGGATTTAACCATAAACTTAAGTTGTTTTTTTTAGTTTTTCCTTTAACATGATATAAGAGTAAGTGTGGCACAAAGAAAAGTTGGTGCTCTAATAATGTGTGGTGGGGGGGGGGGGGGAGGGGGCTTAGTTTTAAATAATAGTTGTGGTACTGTAAATTAAATAAGGATGAATAAGACAGTTGTTTGAGAATTACTTTCACCGTTTTTAAATACTTGCTCTATTTCTCCAAGCGCGGAGTTTTAGAAGAAATTGGAGAAAGTAATTAAATATGGAGGTAGTGGGGTTGATGGAAGAATAAAAATTGTAAAAAACCAAAAGTAATGGAGAAAATTGAAGGAAAGAGAATATGAAATTAATATTGGTGGGTCCACTTGATGACAGAAATTAATTAAGTATTATATAAGCTTTCCAATAAGGAAATGGAGCAAGTATTTAAAAACGGCCGAAAAAGTAAAGTCGAGCAAGTATTTAAAAACGGAGGGAGTATTAATGAGCATAAACAAGGTAAAAAAGAACTAAGTTCTAAGTTTTAATTTAATGTGGTTTGATAAATGATAATTGCATTGAACACTGTTCATAAACAATACCTATGTATTTGTATTGAAATAAATGAACTTTTTTCTAATAAATTTAAATTATTTTTGCTGAACTTAGCTTGTTTTTATCAAAATGAAATTACTTCATTTAAGTTATCTTCATTGTGTATTAGTTGAATAAAATTGAAGAGAACATAGCCTAAATTAGCTATAAATGCTTGAGTAATAAGGTGGAGAGAATCTTTTCATATGATTGTGATTTCATAGACAAAATACTTTATATTGACACGATATATATGATGTATGTTTTGTCCTTTAATGATTTATAACTAAATTCGATACATGAATGTCTTTTAAAATTATTAAATTGATGTAAACTTATTTTCATGTATTTTGACGGCAAGGTCTTGTACACGTTACAAAACACCAGGGCCGTATCTGGGCCGGGGCAGCCGGGGCACCCGCCCAAGGCCCCAAAATCTGAAAATCAAATTAGTTATTAAAAAAATTAAAATTATAATATTACGAATGACGAAGTAAGTGGCATTTCTTGGTAATTAGTCAATCATTCCTTTAATAACTCCTCACAGTAAATCATTAAAATTCCTCCTTGAAATTAACTCCTTCATTTTGGGAAGTTAATTTGACAAATTAATCCTATAATCTAACAATTCATCCGTATAATCTTCTATTCTCATCCATGAAATCAATTATTTGTATCTTTACCTATATTTTTCTGATTTTTCATCTTCCTTCCCAAATTAATGCTAAAATGATGATATCCCCCATAAACGTTCTTCTTTGCAATCAATTTTCAACGGGATTAATCTATGAATTTTCCTATAAATTATACTCTTTCAGTTGTTCTTCACATATCAATCTACTTAATCAATTTTTTCTATTTGTTTCTATTAATTTTTCACCATTATTATGGATTTTGGCTTCGATGTTCAAAGATGAACTCAGAATCGGTACGAGCCTACTATTAAGTCATTGGTAAGTTCTATACTTTAATTTTTTTCCCAGAAATTACAATTGATTAATTTATTTTAATGTATAGATTATTCAATTTTACAAGAGAAAATCTGAAATACTCATATTAATTCTATATCATACGAATTTTAATTTCTGATTTATGAATTATCAGTAGATAGTATGTCAAATTTATATTTTTCCCAATTCATTCTAATTTCTAATTTTGTTTGAATTATGATTTTCATATTTGATTACTGATTAATAATTAATTGATTATGAATTATCAAATTGTCATATTTGTTTAGTATGTCGAATTGATAAATTGATTGATTTTTTAATTATGAATTATCAAATTTATAGAAATTTAGAATGATAATTGATTAATTTTTAGTTAAAAATTATCAGTATGTCATTATGTCAAATGATAAACTTTTAATAATTTATTCAATTGTACTGAATTTTTAATTTGTACTATCAATATTATGTTGTAGGTGTCGGGGTGTCGCTCATTCTACCATATCCGACGACTTTTGGACTTCTCGGCTTTACTACTAGCATCTTGCGAGATTCGGTGATATCATTCTTTAACTTTTTTATTGTATAATTTGTTTTAATAATGTTTCCGAGAAAACATGCATCCGGTCATGATAAAAGGGTTAAAAGAAAACGAACACAAGATTTAATTGAATCTCAAAGAGGAACATTAGATAAATTTTTTTTATAGTAGTCGAGTTGAAAAGTCTTCGAATAATTTGAATAATGATGATAATATTAATGATGTGCCTAATGATGATGTTTCTAATGATGTGCCAAATGATGATGTTCCTAATGATGTGCCAAATGTTGATGTTCCTAATGATGTTCCGAATATTGATGTTCCTAATGATGATCATGATAATGTTGATGTTCCTAATGTCGATAATGTTGATGTGAGTGTTAATGAACACTTTATCCCTCTTTTTGATATGTATGATCCTAGAAACTGGGGTTCACTTGATGCAAAATCTAGAGATATTTTGATTGAAAAAGGACCTATAAGAGATTTAAATCTCACATTTCCTATCGATAGATTTCCTAGGCATTTTTCATATACTTATTTTACTAGAAAGTTGAGTAATGGAAAGTTTTCGAATAGAAAATGGTTGGTTTATTCTAAAAATGTTGATAAAGTATATTGTTTTTGTTGTAAGTTGTTTACTTCTCAAAATAACAAAACTCTTTTAGCAAATGATGGAGTGAATGATTGGAAACATTTGAGTGAGAAACTCAAACTACATGAGAATAGTGTTAACCATTTGACTAATATGATTACTTGGAATGAAACAAGGTTGAGATTGAATAAGAACAAAGGCATTGATAAAGAGTTGCAAGAAGGAATTCTAAAAGAAAAGGAACGTTGGAGACAAGTTTTGATAAGAATAGTATCAGTTGTTAAATGTCTTGCTAAACATAATTTAGCTTTCGCGGATCTAATGGAAAATTGTATGAGGATAGTAATGGTAATTTTTTGGGCTTGATTGAAATGATAGCTGAATTTTATTTGATAATGCAAGATCATGTTCGACGTATAAAGAGTCATGAAATTCACTATCACTACCTCGGTCCTCAAATTCAAAATGAGTTGATTTCTCTTTTAGCCCATAGTGTTAGAACTTCTATGATAAAGATCATTAAAGAGGCTAAATATTTTTCTGTGATACTTGATTGTACCTCGGATGTGAGCCATCAAGAGCAAATGACTTTGATTGTACGATGTGTTAATGTGTCTTATGATAAGATAAAAGTAGAAGAATTTTTTTTTAGAATTCTTAATAGTAGATGATACATCTGGATTAAGACTTTTTAATGAATTGTTAAATGTGTGCAAGTCTCTATTTAGATATTGATAATGTTAGAGGTCAAGGTTATGACAATGGTTCTAATATGAAAGGAAAACATGCATTAAGGGGTTCAAACGAGACTACTTGGAATAAATCCAAGGGCTATATATATGCCATGTGCTTGTCATAGTCTTAATCTAACTCTTTCGGATATGACACATTCTTGTGTTAAAGCTATTTCTTTTTTTGGAATTGTGCAACGCATATACACATTATTTGCAAGTTCTACTAAAAAATGGAAAGTTTTAGTTGATAATGTTCCAGGGCTAACTGTTAAATCTTTGTGTAATACTCGATGGGAGAGTCGAATTAAAAGTGTCAAAGCTATTAGATTTCAAGCGCCTCAAATAAAGTTAGCTTTGCAAAAATTGTATGACTCTAGTGGTAATGATGCTAAGACAAAGAGTGAATGTGAAAGTTTGGCTAATTGTGTTGCAAGTTATGAATTTTTACTTGGCATTGTTTTGGTATGACATCTTATTTTCAATTAACACTGTGAATAAGAAATTGCAATCTAAGTCTATGTGTATTGGATTTGCAATGAAGGAAGTGAAAGGTATTATTTCGTATTTTGAGGAGTATAGAAATAATGGCTTTGAATCTAGTATAAATATTGCTAAAAGCCTTGCATTTGATATGGGTATAGAGCCTACACTTCCGACAAAGCGTCAAATTTTTAGGAAAAGACAATTTGATGAGAACAATGATAATGATGAAGAAATACAATCACCCGAGGAATCTTTTAGAGTTAATTATTTTTTGGTGGTTGTTGATATGGCAATAAACTCTTTGAAAAATAGATTTGAAAAATTAGAGGTTTTTGACAATATATTTGATTTTTTGTTTGATTCAAACAAATTAAAGTCATTAGACAATGATGAATTAAGAATTTCTTGCATCAATTTTAAGACTAATTTTTCTAATAATAATTTGTCTGATGTTGATGCAGATGATCTTTTTTCAGAATTAAAAGTATTGCAAATGACTTTACCAAATGTGTTGATGTTGGCACATGAGATTCTAGAGTTTGTCAAAGCTGTCGATTGCTTTCCAAATGCATCAATTGCTTATCGAATACTATTGACTATGCTGGTAACGGTTGCATCCGCCGAAAGAAGTTTTTCAAAGTTGAAGTTATTGAAAACCTACTTGAGATCATCAATGTCTCAAAAAATGTTGAATGGTTTAGCTACTTTATGTATTTAGAGAACAATGTTAGAGCATATTGATGTAGAAACTATCATTAATGACTTTGCATCTAGAAATGCTAGAAGAAAGTGATTTGTTTAAACGTTATTGTAATAATAAAATTTCTTAGCATTTAATAAAGCCTTTTGTAATTTTTTTTTGTGCATACCCAAAATAAATATTTTTTGGTACCAAGAGCCCATTTTTTTTTATCCGCCCCTAAAGTCTCAGAAACGGGCCTGCAAAACACATCCACCTATAGTGATTGGTGAAGATATGTGAATTGAAGTGCAATAAGGAAAAAGTATTGCAACAGAAAAACTAAAGTAATGGCAGATTTTGATAGCTTTAATTTATGTGTTTGGTTCATCTGATCTGCAAATAAAACCTTGCTACACTTATCTGAAATAGGAATTTTGCCTTTTGGTGTGTACGAAGTCTGCGAACTGCGAAGGTTTGGGGCCAGGGAGGCTGGATTGGAACCAAACAAAAATTCCCTATGTTTAAGTGTAGAACATAATTGCGTATAATGAAATACAAACCTTTCAATTATATATGATTAAGTTTATGAGCAATCCGTTATCATAATTAATTACTTTAATTTTTTTAAAATATATTATAACATTATAACTAATTACTTATAGAGTACGGTACTATTTTTGAGCATCAATTACGTATTATCAATATCATCAATACACACTATCGTCTGAACTTTCTTCTTTGTTAATAAAGTAGAGAAAAGCTTGTACGGTGCACAGCTTATAATACATGCTTCGTATATCATAGAAATAAATATTTGTCTCAGTTAGATTTTAAGGATTTTTTTTATTATTTAGTTTATTTTATTATTTAAATAGTTATAGAAAAAAAAACACATTAACTTAATTATTTCATTGTGTAAAAGAAAAGTATAACTTTTTTAAAAAAGTATCTTATAATGCAACCTTATTTATTTTTGTTAGTTACGTAATAATTGAATTAATTAAATATAAATTGATTGAAAATATGTTATGTCATTCGTCACATTTAGGATAAAATATTTAATGTGAAAAGATAATTTTTTTTGGTTTTTAAATAATTAATACTATCTCCGTTTCATATTTTTTGCAACTTTTGTCAAAAATGGATGCTGCACATTATTTTGCAATTAATGATTTCTTTCCTTTTTAGGTTGTCATCAATAACTATATACTAAAAAAAACACACCAACAATGACACGTGTTAATTTCTGGCGTGTCCTTAGTATATTATTTTTTAATAATTAATTACTTAATTTTATTAAAAGAAGTTATTTTAAAAAAAAAGTTTATTTTTGTCAACTATATAAATGAGCAATAATATTTACCATTCTTGTGTTGATACAAAATTAATTACGGAATAATAAAAAATATATATAATCTTTTTCAGGAAAATGTAATTTTAGTGAAATATTTTGTAAGAAAATGATCTTGATCAAATATTTTATGTTACTTCAATTTTGTTCAAGATAATTTAAACAGTTTTCATATTTTATGATATAAATAAATTAATTTGTCAGAAGAAAATATGGGGTAATTAAAACAACCGTGCATGGCACGGGATCTAACCTAATTTCTCTCTATCTCTCTCTCATTACATGCATTCCTATTTTTCTCTCTTTATCTTACACTCACAAACAAATTTTGCCTAAAAGTCCTTACACCCTTCAAAGTTGATAAAAATGTGAAACAGAAGTAATATAAACTTTCATATGTGGCTGGCCTTTGCCATCATTGGGGTTACTTCATTAGTGATATAGAAGTTACTCAGACCAGTGTTATAAAAATTACTTCGTTGTATAAAATTATTTTATGCAAAATTTATTTGAACTTCTAACTAATTAAGTAACCCCTGACCGAGTAACCCCTCAAATTTACTCGCTCAGGGGGTACTCGGTCAGGGGGTACTCGGTCAGGGGTTACTTAATTAGTTAGAGGTTACTTGAGGGGTTAGTTGGTCAGGGGTTACTTGAGAGGCTACTTAAGGAGTTGCTCGGTCAGGGGTTACTTGAGGGTTTACTCGGTCAGAGGTTAATTGGTCAAGGGTTGATTCAGGTGTAACTCGAGTAACCCCAACAATAATGCAACATAGAAAAATCCCCCATTTTAAAGTAGTATATCATTATTTTGAGAAATAAAAAATGTATTACTAAGACACCTATGTAAGTAAATTCATTATTACTCGTTAAATCATTTTATCTTAAACTTTGTTAAATGAATATAAGTATTAAGATTTGTAAGCCGTGTATTGCAAGGGTACTATGCTAGTTTTATTCTAAACTCTCAATATGGATGATTCTGATATTATGGTTGCATATGTTAGTATATATACACATGATCTGACTCAAAACAATCATCTGTTGCTTATAGCAAAGTAATCTCGATTCATTAATCAATATACAAGAGAATTTTTACGAGGAAGTGTGTATATTTAGGGGTGTTTGCGGTGCGATTTGGATCCTAAACTGCACCAAACTGCAAAACTACAATGTGTAATTTTTTCAAACCACACCAAACTAAACTTCTAAATAAACCTCACTGCCAAATGCGGTTTGGTGTGATGCAGTTTAACCATTTTTTTTATGTAAATTATAATTATTCTTTTTAAAACTAATAGTCACAGATTAGCTAATATATTTTAATTCTTTTATTTTATTTTTTTTATAAAAATATAGTATAAAAAACGCAAATCGCATTAAAGTGCGGTTTGGTCTATATATTTTTGGAAACTGCACCAAATTGTAAACCGCAATTTAGTCATTTTCAATAACTGCAAACCGCAATTTTCAAACTGCACATCGCACCAAACCGCAATTGTGCTTTAGCGGTTTAAACCACACTTTGTACAACCCTATGAATAAATATTGCACAAATAACCCAAAGAACAACATTTGTTGCAATTTAACAATAGCATCATAAGGTCTCTTTATAATCATAATAACTATGCCATTTAACTTTGGCTTTTGAACTTAGCTTGTATCAATCTTCCAAACTCCATAAGCTTGTCAGTCTCAGGCATATAATCCTTGACAGCATCATCTGCACAAAACCTCTCAGACCAAGTGAAGAGGTTAGGTGTCTCCTCCTCATTTAGAAACTCGGCGATGTTGCACATCTTTGCAACCGCGCGCAACCACCCTATGAAGCTCCCGAAGGCAATGTCAAGGTATCCAATTTTGTCACCGCTGAAGAAGGGCTTCCCTTTGCTGCATTTCACAAAGGCATCTTCAAACAATGCCAACCCTTCTTTCACTTTCTCTATAGTTGCTACGTTTACTTCCTCACTTTGCGAATAGAGTAGTTCACGAAATGTTGGGAACCACTGCATATATTTGTAACACATTGACATTAACATTAAATTTGCAATACACACATTGTTAGTTGTACGTGTAATTCAACAATTAACACACTAACTAAACAAATCATACATGAAAAGATTATATTGGATGATTGAATTCTACTATAGAATTGTCATGTAAGTTTGTTACTAATATGTCGGACTTTTTGTGAAAAAGTACCTTATATACATCAAATTTTGTAAAAAAACAACCTTATACAGAGTAAAAAAAAATGTTGTAAGAAACTACCTTATAAAAGCTAAATATTGTTGCTACCATGTGCTTAATTTAACAATGAAAGAGAAGCGGAATCAGGGGCTATGAGCGGGCTATGGAGAAATTGGGTGTAAAAAGGTAAAAAAAAAAAGATTGAAAACGGATCATTAAATGTCTCTTATTCAATGCAATAATTTGGCAAAAGTAGTTTTTTACAACATTAATTGTTTTATAAGAGAATATCTTTTTGCAACATTTATTGTTTAAAAGGTGCTCCGTAGTTTCTTACAACATATTTTTAATAAAATAGTTTTTCATAAAAATTAACTTGTATAAGGTAGTTCTTCACAAAAAGTCCTAATTAGTCAGGTTGTTTTTTATTTTTATTATTTTATTTATTTATATATTTATTATTATTTTTTTTTTACAGGAGGTTGTTTTCAAAACACATACTTTATTGTAAAATTCTATGATTTTTAGAATGGCCTTTTATTGTAGTTATTAAAACTTTGTGAACTTATTGTGGACAAACATTCAAAATCCTTACATATGAACCATCAATTTCTATAATAATAATTATATATATAAAAAAAAAAGGTAATAAATTTTGTTTTAATAACACAAAATAAAGGTTGGATATTTTTCTACAAACATACATTATTGCATCTACCAAACCACCACGGCACCATCCACCCTACCTCTTCTTAACCACAATTTCCCCTTAACATCAGTACTTGTTATAAGTTTCTTTTTTTTTTTTTTTCTTTTTTTTTTAAATTTTTTTTTTAATTTTTTATTTTAAGTCTTCCAACAAGATACAATGTGAGAAGATGTTTTAAATTATTTAATTCCAGTACGTATATAAGAAATTCCATAATAATGAGAGGTCTTATTTAATTTGACGATTTAATTAAGAATATTACTATGCATTACAAGTATTCAAAATTTGATAAAATTTTGACAATTTTCTAATTATTTTTCTAAAATAAGTAATAAAAGGTTTTTTCTAACTAAAACTAGTCAAGTAAACATTTTGTAAATGTGTCAAATTCAAAATGTGTCATCTAATTTGAAACGAAAGAAGTATAAAAAAATAAAATGAGTAAAAAATTCCCACCAAAGCTTAAAAGTTTCAAAACATGAGGCTACCTTATCATCGATGTAAGCGGCCCAAAAGCGTTGGATGGCACGATCATAAGTGTCGGAAGGGAGGATGGATGGACCGGATGGAAAGGCCTCATCAATGTACTCAACAATGACGAGAGACTCACAAATTGGCTTGTCATTGTGAAGAAGAACAGGGATTTTCTTGTGAACCGGGTTTGATTTAAGCAAAAGTTCACTTTTTTGTTGCAAAGTATCTTCAATATATTCGGATTCTACTGATTTCATGTGGAGTGCAATCTGTGGCCTCATAACAAATGGGCTTGGCCAAAATCCTATCACCTTCACCTCTGCCATTTTTTCTTTGCTCTTACACAACAAAACAAATACAACTATACAAGTGTTTCTCTCTTCTTTGATAAATGATAAGGCCAGATATGTAGTAGATAATATGTAAAGGGGAATTCCAACCATATATGTTTTTTTTTTATCTTGGCCATCATTTTCCACCATTCATGGCTTGAGTGAGACATTTGTCACTGCACAATTTTAACTATGGATCAGAATGTTGTATCGTTAATTGTCTAGTTTTATAAGCAATATTATTATACATTGTGTTTGAGCAAACAACACATAGTTATCAATGAGATATTGGTTTAGAGTCTGTTTTGTTCAGCTTAATTTCATTTCAATTCAGCTCCAATCAGATCAGTTCAGCTCAATTCAGCTCCAATCAGTTCAATTCATTTCAGTTCCTAATTTTCTTCTCTCATAAACAATTCATTTCAGCTCTATTTAGTTTAGTAAAATTTAACCCCAATCAATTCAGTTAAGTTGTTTTGACTTAAGGCTAAGAATCTATAGATAATAGATTAATAGGTCTTAAGTTCATATTCTCATCCCCATGTTGACCATATATAAGTTGTTTTGTCGCTAGGGTTCATTCGTAGTAGTAGTAGTAGTAATAATAATAATAATAATAATAATAATAATAATAATAATAATAATAATAATAATAATTGTCAACTCATTATATATCCAGGGATTTGTCTTTATTAGAGGTGATCATTTGCGGGCTTGGACGGGTAGCGGGTCGGACCTATGCTTATTTTTTTGTCCAACGGGCTTTATGTAGCAAACCCGAACCCTTTTATGCGGGCTTGATACTTTGTCCATGCCCGCTTGTTAAACGGGCCAGGCTTGCCCGCGGGCTAACGAGCCTTAATTTTTGTTTTATTTTTTATAACACTAACTAATCTTTTTATTATTTACTTGTGTTAAAATTATTTAGTATAGTTATCTTATAATTTTTTGTTCACAAATGGTAATAGATTTTAAAAAAAAGGTTGAAATTATAACATATAATATAAATATATGTAAGATAAAACTTATTTAAAAAGTGTTAATGATAAAATATAAAATTAAAATGAATAATTGTAACTAATAAAAGCTTAAAGTTTAATATAGTCTCTTTGCATTTATTTTCAAAAATACACAAAGTATGTCATAACTAACTAACTAAATAAAATTATTAAAATAAGAATGTTATTATTATTATTAATTTATTATTATTATTATTATTATTATTATTATTATTATTACTATTATTATTATATAATAATAAACAGGCCGAGCGGGCTAGCCCGCAATACATATTTCTTGTCCATACCCGCCCATTCATGTTAACGGGCCGGGCCTAGCCCGCCCAAATATCCATTTTTTTCCAAAAAGGTTGTCCAAGCCCGCCCTTTTTGCGGGTCGGGTTGGGCGGGCTTAGCGGGCCGTCCCGCCCATGAACAACTCTAGTCTTTATATATATTCATGGAAAATTTGTCTGAAAGGGACATATATATTCATTATTTTATTTGGTAGGACCTTATATGTTTAAAGTGATCTAAAATGACCTTATAAGTTTATTTTGTTGTTTGAGGGGACCTTGAGGTCGGAATCTAGCAATAATTTTGTGAGAAAGAAAATTCTTGTGTTGATTCCGTAACCCGAATCCGAGCCATAATCAATAGTAGCCCCGCACAATCAGAGACCATATTAAGCACAAATAAAACCTTGTCTTTCGAAGGAGTTCGAAAAACCTTGTCTTTCGAAGGAGATCGAAAAAACCTTGTCTTTCGAAGGAGATAAACCCTTTCTTTCGAGGGAGACATTATTGTAACCTAAGAAAAATTAAAAAAAACTTAAAAGAAAATAAATATTCTCGATCAACTCTCGCTTCACACTAATGTAGTGGTGGCAGAGTCAGGAATTGAACCCATGACCATAGAAAGAACTTGTAAGTGCTTTGACCACTAAACGACTAACCTCTTTTCTTTTAATCATTATGTTGCACATAAGTTTTATAATTTAACTAGTTTTTAGGTCCAGACGATGTCCCGGGTTATTACATGAAACTAACTAATCATAAATATACATTGTAAGTTATGATTTTATTTTTTAATAATTAAATTTAATATTCATATTGTCAATTTGCTACATATTAATATTTTGTATACAAAAGATGACATAAAGAATCACATACCTTGGTGGTAAGACATTTAGTTTTTGAATTAGAAGTTGCAAGTTCAAATCTAGTGAAGAACTTTATTTTTTAGGAAAAAATTAGAAAAAATAATCCCGAATTTCCTCAAATTTTGTAGAATAATCTCAAATTTCATTTATTATTGAATAATCCGAATTTTGGTGGGTGTAGACACCTAAAAATGTCTCTCCAAAACCAAACCCGATGCTGAACAACCTTTCACCGCCATTATTGGTCGGGTTGAGTATTTAATTTTGGAGTGCTTAAATCCATATTTCCATTTCATAAACCAACCCAAATTCTAGCCCATTTCCCCAAACCATAACTTATTTTCCTCTTTTCGTGCCTTTAAACCCAAAATAATTCATTTCGTGTCCTTTAAAATCATTTATTTCGTGTCCTTTTTATAAAAACGTTTACTCCAATTTATTTTTGAACTGAATAGTTGGATGAGGATTTAAAGGAGCTTTCCAAAGATATATTATGAGCCCAAATCGGAGTTATAACGAATAAGTTATAGTCAAAATATTAAACTGAGCCCAAACCGAACCTAAGCCCACCTTACCTATGACCCAATGATCATGTGGAGGGTCCAAATTATTTAATCCCATTCCTAAACCAATTAGGATTAATTGGAAGCTTCTATAAGTTTCTAAAATATCTTAATTATCCTTTTTGAAAAGATAAGATTAAATAGTTTGAAATTGAATAAAACTCCTTTTTTTTTAAATCCTATTTATATCCGAATTGAAAGACGTTCAAAGATAGACATATATTATCTTCGTGCATCATATTTTTTATCTAAATTTTATATGGTTGGATATCCCTTGAAATTATCTTTCCAATGATATATTATAATATCAATTCCGAGCTATAACAAAAAAGATATGAATCAAATAAAAAACTCTATCCAAAACTGACACCGTACCACTATTTCGGCCATATATTTTATTCTATAAAATATTTTAATCTGATTCTAATTGGATTAGAAAGTAGACTTCAAGAGATTTTCAACGATATCTTATTCATTTTATTTCAATTTCAAGATCAAAAGATATGATATAAACAAAAACCATAAAAACTGCAGTCTATCGAGTTTTATTCCGATTTAATTCGGATCTTATCTTTTTTTTTCGACCCTTCTTTTTTTCTCTATAAATAGAGGTCATATCACCCCTTTTCCAATCATTAACAATCTTGATCATCAAATAATTCTCTTCTCCCTCTTTAGCCTAAACACTAGCCTCCCTATTCTTCCATAATACTTCCCATAAGCACTCCAAGGAGTCCATACAATACCTGAATTCTATACTTTAACCAAGACGTGATAGGTAGAATTAACTGAGGGTTTGGACCAAATCAAATCTAAATTTTATTTAATTTAATTTCATTTGATTTATATTTTTATTGAAGTTACTAACAGTTTATTCATGATGTAGCAATTCAAGGAAACGCAGAAAGTGAGTAATTAATCACTTAATTACTCTTATTTTATTCTTGTTGCTAGCATCATGATTAGGTTGTTTTATATTTGATTTGAAAAACAATTTATTGTTAAATTGGTTCCAATATTAATGTTTATTCTATTATTTATTGATCACCATATTGCATGTTTAAAGGGAATATGTAATTGAAAATCACGCCTAATAAGATAATTTGGACAACCGATAATTTGTAACTGATTAATCTTGTTGTTTAATCAAGTGATCACAATATTTTAGAATAAAATGTTGAATTAATATTCAACCAATTTAGCCTAATAATAGTTTGGAGCAAATTGAATCTTTGTTTGTATGCCTTTGAGATCGCAGGAATCATTTTTTACTATAAGAATCGAGTAGAGGCCAATACGAGAGAAAGTGACTCCATGACTCACTTCGTACCATCATCCCCGATCCTCCTTTCGTGGTTTCGAACCATATGGAGTTAGTAATCTCATGGATTATGAATGGGGTGTAACCTTTACGGGTTAATCGTTGTTGCCTATAGTTGTCCCTTATTCGTGGTTGCCTTTTATGATCCGTGAACGGTTTATAAGTTCCTTAAAAACTTGTTGGCGGCTCTCTACTTTCCTTGTCCCTAATCGTATATGTCAATTCCCACTTCCTATGAGTGCCAAGCATATTCACACATGCTTTTAACGTAGGCGCACTTCGAACGACGCCTACAATTTCGCGACTCCACTGGGGAGGATTCTTGATTATTTATCGATTTGAGTGATCGGTATTTAATTAAGATGAGTGGATGAGACTTGAAAGATTCTTGAAAAATATTCCTGTGATTTAATTGGCATTGTCACATATGCATATGTATTTTAGCTTACCTATTTTGCCACAATAGTACGTGTTCTACATATGTGGCTAGCCCGGGGTATTTATGCTCTATCAACCCGAAAACGCTCATGGCAATAAGGGTTCATCCGAGTTTTTAAATCCACCCAAACCATGGAGTCGAGTTCGATTTCATCACGAACTCGCGGAGCCGCCCGTTGGCATACACCCTCAAGGGAGGCTGTCTTGGTAACGCGTCCAAACTCTTAACCATGGTACCCTTTGACACCCAAAAGCTTGACCATAGTCGAACATAGAACTTAACTTTAGGTTGCGAACTTCATTGCATCATGCGTGACTATATGCTTATGTGTGCATTTTTTTTGTTGACCTTTTTTTAATTATTTTTTTATCTTTTCAAACCCTTTTTTTTATTATTAGAGTCCAGCCATATATTTTTTATTTTTATTTTTGAGTCACCCGGATTTTAATTCCCGTATACTGCACAAGATTCAAATTGTTTTGGTCATATCCGGAGTTATATAAATAGTTACGTGTCGTGCCACCTATGGATCTGTAGCTCCGGGTTTTATCTTTCATTTGGCGTTTGTTTCGTCTCAATCATAGTCACACATAAAAAT